TAAAGAAGAAATTGTCCATTACAATTACCTTAAACCTTATCAGATTCGACCTGTCAAGAAACCAAAGTCAAGGAATCCACCAAAGAAGAATGGGGTCGTACACCCAGCACTGGGTACCAGTGAGGACAGTGAATCTGACAGCAGAGAAGAGGAAATGCAACCAGAGAGAAGATATCCAGAAAGAATTCGAAGACCTCCAGAAAAATACACATAATACTTTTAAAGGGGGGAGTGGTGTGATATATTGACATTTATATTTACATTGAAATAGATACTAGTAAATAGCAAGCCTGTTTGCAGGCTATTAGGCATGGACCTTCGGGCTTTAATAATTAACTGGAAGAGTAAGGCTATTATTATACATGTGTTCGGGGAATATAATATATAAATTTACAATAGCACTGCACTCATTTTTGTTGCCTAATAGCCTTGTTGAGTCATTGATCACTTGACTAGTAATCACTACAGTGTCATATTACTCAAATAAACATATATCAATAGTGCTTATGAAACGGCTGAAAATTTTTTCTGAAATTGTGCTGATTTTATAGTTTAAAGTACGCTGAATATCATGCTGTATTTTATTTTCGCCCCGCGATTTTTTAAAGTGGATTTTTTAAGCTACAAAGTTCAGCAATTCGGCTATTTTTTGTCCCGGGGTCTGGACCCGAGTGAAAACAGCGCGTGACGTCACTGGTTGTACACCACTGAGCTGTATAATAACTGGAGGACCTGCTCCTATACTTCGTTCAGTCATCGAAGTGAAGCCAAAAACATGGCGGATTTTGAGTGAAAATGACGCCATTTCCATGACAACACTTACTTTATTTTCATGGTAGGTACCACTGACCAGGCTCAATTCTGAGCCCACGGCCGTTTTCACACCCCCCTGGTTTTTGCAAAAAAGTTTTGCAGATATTATAGTTCTCGTGGTTTTGGATCGGTTTTTAAAATTTTTTTGATATAATTTTTCTACTTTTGACTATTTGGACAAAGATATGCAAGTCGTTCGTGTTATTCCCGCCCGTGAAAGACGACAGACAAATTTAAAACCTCAAGAAATGTGGGAAAAGACTTGAATATGGATTTTATACAAAGGGTAAGAGACAAATTTGCATATTTCAATTTTTTAATATTTAGACTTTACCTTATTTGACATGAAAATGATAAGCATAACGATGAAACTGACACTCTATTTGTTAATAAAACAACTTCCTGTGTAATACACATGGTAAAGTGTTAAATTTCCCACTATTTCACTAATTTTAGCAAGCTGTGATTCATAAATATTGCAAAATATTTGGTTTCAGACTACGAAGCTTTGATCGATATTCAGTCACATATACGAGGATTACGACGGTCTTTGAAGTGCGAACTGTCTGGTGTATTAATGTTTAAAAGGTTGACTCCTGAGCTCTCGTTTTATAAACAGACATAAACCTCATTTCCAGGATGGCCTGTTTTCTTACATGTTTTCTCAGTAAATATCACTCTGAATGAGCAATGTACCTTTATAAGTGCACTCATAGTTCTGATACCCCTTGTTTAAGTTGAGGAGTTTAGGTCACATTCTTTTGTTTGCTGTACCTTCATCATATGCTAATTATGTTACTGGAGGATTTTTGTACAACCTACATAATTAATCTACTCTTGTTTGTTGCAGATTTATTCCACAATGACACACTCCTTTCTGGGTGGCAAGTTACAGTACCAAGCCTGGCAAGCCACAGATATCTTTGGAAACTGAACATACTGTATTTTAATACATGCTTCCAAAAATTATGTCACCTTGGCGAGTCTCATTTTCACGATTGAGACATTGGACTTTAACTCATGCCACATATATGAAAATGAGGCTCCTGTGACAAGGTGAAATACATTCCGGAAGCCGGAAGGGTGTATTTGACTTTTTTGAAAAATTTTGGCAGTAAAAATTTAAAAAAACAAAAATGTATAATTTTAATTGCTATAAAACTTATTTACACTTCAATAAAGTTATCATAATCATATAATTATTTATGTTGTTATGCATGGTATTATAATTAACTAATTCATTTTGTTGTTCTGCATGTTTTTCTGCATGTTGATGCCTCAGTGCCATCTCTTGTGTATATTAAACATATAATTTCTGCAAAATAAAAGATGACATTATTATCATGATACATTATACATCTTTACATCACAAAAATATCATATAGACATATGTTAACCCTTCACAAGTGGCAATGTGTCTTGATATGCCTTACTGTATTATTTTAATCTACCTAACACCAGACAATTTTACTAGTCAAGGGGAGAGTGCAATTACATGATCTGTTTTTACCAACGACCATTGATCTGAGCTTCAAAATTAAGTGTCATGTTTCAATATTCAGCAATGCAATTACATTTCCTAACTGCTAAAATATGTCAAACTTAACTATTATGAGCAAATTTCATCATAATTTCTCACAGGCCGTGTCATGGCCAATTGGACATCACTACTCCCAATGTTAGAAATCATGGGCGGATTTACTTGGGGGGGGGGGGTTAAACCCCTCTAATAAAGTGTTCAACTCCACCAAGAATTCTGCTTCAACCCTCCTATTTTGTGCGAAAGGCTTTAACCCAAACGTCTAACCCCTGCCAAAGCTCACTGAGTGGTGCCGCTTGCACCCCACCAGAAATTTTTCTACCCCTCCTTTTAAATAAATGAAAATCCGCCCTAATTGTTAGAAATGTTGTAGCATTCCAAATTTAACTCATGATTAGTGTATCAGTGACTCACTTAAATCCCGGCAGCTTGTGGGCAACATTTTTGTTCTTGCCATGTAACTATGACATCATACTGTGTAAAACTATATAGTTTTATATAGTTCTGAACAGACAATGGCAAAATGATATCTATTTTTAGTAAAATTATGGGTAAAACATCTGAATTTAATCTCACAGATTGAGTAAAATAAGAAAGTAGCCAGGGTTCATTGCAGCTTAATGGGCTGACTATATATCTCAGGCTGCTCATTTGCAGATAGCTGTAATTAACCCACTGCGTGGCAGCAGGGAGCAGTCTCAATCCTCTTAAAATCGTCTGTAGACAACCAGAGTAAAATAATAAAGACAGTCTTTAGGGCTCATCGATCAGCCGACAGGGCACATACATTATTGTCACATGTAGGTGGGCCTCCTCAATAACGGCTCAACTCTCTCTGGTCTTG